AACATTTATTTATAAAACATTATCAAATTGCAATTAAACTAAAATAGTTTAAATAAAATAAAGTAAATTTCTAAATTACAAATGGTTAATTTTTCTTTTAACGTTTTTATAGCAGTCAAAATTTTCAATAGATGTGTATTCAAGATGAAAAATTGTTCTAAATAAAAAAAGAATAGCATCCTCAGAAATCAGTTCTTCCGAGAAATCAGAATAAAATAGTTTCTGTGAAGAACTAAAGTTTGTTCACCCAACTCCAAACCGCTGAACCAATGCATAATGCATTATACAAAAGTAAGCAAATAAATAAAGATAAAAAAGATTCCCCGTCGGTTCGTTGTTTTTAATATCGCATCTGGCAACGTAATCTAAATCGTTTGGAATTTCTCTTACGCTTTGGAACTTTTCTATTGTGATTGCTTTAGCATAAAGAAAAAGGAATCTGGCCGGATATATTAATAGCATGTGCTTTTTAATATTCATAGCAATAGTTCTTGAGAAACTGCTATAAAATTTGAATATCCGATGCAATTTATGGACCAAAGAGACTCTGAAAATAATATTTGTATCCTTTGAAGATGTTTTATAAATTTATGATCCGCTTAAAAACGATTTACTCCAAATATTACTTGGTCCTTATGGATATCGATTTCGACTTAACTTTCGGTGTAAAATTTTTACTTTATTTTTAAAGGGTATTTTAAATTATTTATTGGTACTTTGTCGATAATTAATTTTCGGAGCTTATCTATTCGAAGAGGGATCTTCGTTTAATTTAATTTCGTTAAAGTAATTAAAGAAGATCTAATTAATTTTTTCGGCGGATTATGAAAAAGAAAACTTCGAAGTGAATGTAAGGTGAGGAAGTGGATTCTTTTTTCTTTTTATTTTTTAACAATTTTTCTATCTTCTTTTTTTAGATTTTTATCAGTTGATTAATTGGAGATTATGAGTGCACAAACTAATGTTATGGGTTATTTTGTGAAGATTAAAAGTTAAGAATCTTTTATTTCTGAAATAAAAAATTATAAGTTTAAAAGAATAATTCTAATAAATAATTCAGGCTGAATTTTTTTGAAAATGTATATTTTTATATTAATGATTATTATTTTGATTATAATTATGAATTATTATTATTTATGATTAAGGAAATAATATTGACAAGAATTACAATTCTAATAATTACTTTGAATTACAATTAAATATTCTTAATAAATACTTTGGAATTACAATTAAATGTCCTGAATAATTACTTTGGAATTACAACTAAATATTTTAAATAATTACCATTTTAAGTCAAAGAACAATATAATTTTTATAAAATACTGCACCAGCTGTTTAATGTTCTGTTATTTTTATAAGAAAAACAAATTAATAAAAGTTTTTATAGCAAACAAAATATTATAAAATAAACTAACATTAAATGTAAAGATAAATACAAAAGTCACTAAAACCATATTTTTTTATTAAATATGCATGTTATAATATATTGTTTATCATAGATACATAGGTTCTATTCATTACTTAATTGTATTACAATGAAACCTGATATATTATATAATCTTCCAAAAAAGTTTTTAATTATTTTACATCCGGGTTTTATGATGTTCAACTACAACATAAATATTTTTAATTTTATTTTTGCTACGAATTCTTTGCACGGGTCCTTGTCATTATAACATTTTTGCTAAATTTTTCCTAATCAAAATTTAATAAAATTTTGATTTCTGAATAAAAGTATTTGGAACCACAAATATTATTTGAAATAATATTTTATCTCCAAATATTATAAAAATATTTAAACCTAAGCATAAAAAATTAATTAACTCTAAATTAATTCGAATATGAATAATTTTTCATTATGTATGTATGTGTGTGTTCTGTTTCTCCAACGAGTGTATCGATAATATTCGAAGATGAAATTTATCAATCTGAACTTCTTTTTGCACATGGGATAAATAATAAATATATTTTCTGCAATTTTGAAATTATAAAATATTAAAAAATCAAAAAAACTTAAAATTTCTCTCAAAAGATATAGCTGAAACTGATTTAAATTCTTGCAGCGTTTTAAGTGTGTGATAGTGAATATATATATAAGTTGTCAAAATAGCTATTTTATTTTATGTTTAAAAAACTTTGTTCAATTTCCTTCTTTTTGTTTCACTTTTGTTTTGTTTAAACTTTTGCATCTTTTAGTAATTTTTACATTTACACACGCACAAACACTACACACATGCAATTAGAGACAAAAAATATTTAACACAATCAAAGACAGATAATTATAGATTCGTGGAAGGACTTTACTTTTAAGCCGAAAACCCGAAACTCAGATACGCGCAGGATGCGTGAAATATACTTCCTCTCCCAGTGAGAGTCTATAGGCTAACTAATACTCAGGGTTGGCTAAATATCTTTCCTCTCAGGGTGAAAGAACTGTAAACTAAACGTTTCTCAACTGAGTACGGGGTTGCGCTGTACTTCCTCTCATGTGAGAATCTGGAGTCCAACTAACCATTTCTCCTGAACATAACAGGGGTTGCTCTTGCCAGTGTGTATGAAGAAGCATGGTTACAATTTTAGATTTCCATGTCCTATTGGAATCTGTTCGAATTGTGAATGAAGTTTATAACTGAGTCTAAGTAGCTTTTGATATATTATAGATCTTTAATATTATTTGTCTTCTTTTAAGACTGGATTTCGAACTGTTGTCGCAGTAGACTTACAGTAAATAATTTTTTTAGATTCGATAAACTAAAAATTATAATTTTTTTTTTTTTTCAGATAAAAGAACCCGAAAATCAAAGTTTAATGCTAATTTTTCTGCAGGTTTTTTAAAAACATGTTCTGATTTTACATATGCACCAAAAACAATATTCATAACTTTATATATATAAATGCTAAAATGGCTTTATATTTTTATTAGAATCATTTTGCACCACATCATTGAGGATAGTTTGTAAACGAACCATTTTATGGCGTTAAAACTTATTTTTAAACCATTGTGAGTTGAACTAAAAAGAAGAGGAAATTTATTTCCATTTGAATATTGCCTCTTTTAAGAAAAAAACATTTATCATCAGTATTCAATAAATTTAAGAAATGCATACTACTATCAGTAAACATAGTGATTTGAAACTATTATAATACAAATAAATGAACCGATTATAAATTCTTCCGACAAATGGGGCTTCTAAAACTATTGTAAAAGCAAACCATCAACAACAAAAAATTCAAGAAAAAGATCGGTGCATAACAGTTCAAAACTTTCATGTCCTTCTCGTTAGTGATAAGTCAACAGCTAAAAAAAAATATTTATTGATTTGAACTATGGATGTTAAAAATCTTTGGAATGAATAATTTGGTTACATTATTTTAATGAGCCTTTTAAATATGGTAACAGCTGTGGCTATCTTTACATTTTTTTTTTCCTTTTCTTATAAAATAAGAATATGGAATCACCATTCACACCTGTTACCAGCAACTGCTACCAAAGTCTTATATATCTGTAATATTCACTTTTAAATTTTTGGTGGCTCATGTTTGTTCAGAAAGGAGAGCATAGCTTCTTTCAACAATAATGTTACTTTTTTAACAATAAGTATATTTGTTAAATTTTTGGTGGCATCAGTGCATACAGTGTCACCTGATTTCGTTAATTCGAAGAAATTTCAAATCAAGAAATTTTTTTATTAAATGCAAAACTGATATGATGAACTTGAAAACTATGTCACGATTTAAACAAAAACTTTGTTAAATTGTGTGCAAAGCATTTTTTTTTTTTTATTATCCTATATTGTAGACTATATTAATTATTAAAAATTATATTTATACAACATTTTGAAAATGTGAGTGGCAATTTGAGTCTTGTATTGGTTGATTAATATTTTAATATACGTTTAAATATATATTTCTCTTTAAATATTATCTACACGTTTTAAATATCATCATATATGTATGAAATACATATTTCTATATTTTTTTTTAATTAAAGATCCTGTTTGTTTTTATTGTAAAATAAACTTTTTAAAGGGGGGAACATTGAAGAACCTGTTCTTATAATACACCATACCTGAATATTTATCATTAATTTGGTTAATTGAATAAATTAGTTTGAACTGCTTTTTTTTTTAAATGGATTTAGCAGCATGTGCAACATTTCAATGTAGCGCTATCTCGACTATACCGAAAGTGATGACATAGATCAGGGGTCTCCAAACTACGGCCCGCCTGTGTCATCAATCCGGCCTTCGACAGCAAATAGCTTATTGTTGCTGTAATAGGTTGGATAAAAAAAAACTCAGAATGATAATAACTCTGTTTTATTGACTTGCTAGGTAAAACTTAATGACAGGCATAATACGCAGAAAATTTAACTTAAGCATAACATCTAACAAGTAATTGAAATGAATCCCACTAACATTATAAATTAGTGAACTTCCCGCGGTTACCTTCGGTAGTTATGTTGGGGTAAAGAGTATCGTATATGTATGTATATCGATGTTTGGAATGTATATATCCTGAATCGAATATATGATTTTTATCCAGAAAATCCCTCAGGAACGAAAAAGCTAAATTAACGCGAATGAAACCGCCGGGTATCCACTTGTAAAAAAATACTAATGACATTTGTGTAATTGTGATTTTTCTCTGACAATAGTTTGTAGTTAGCAAGCATATGCTCACTCAGAGCGCGTACTCGGCGACTGGTCTAGAAATTATAGATAATGGCTGAAAAATTAAAACGGTTTTGGCCCTTGGTACTTACTAGAGTAAACAGTATGGCCCTAAGGCTAGAAAGTTTGGAGACCCCTGACACAGATCAAAGGCTTTAAAAATTAACCTCAAATTAGTTTGTTTTCAATATATTTTAATTCTGTACAAAAAAAAATTTCTAATAGTATTTGCTTTACCATGTTTATATTCTTTTCTAAATTAGTTAACTCATTTAAGACTAACATTACGAAAGCGCAACATTACCTAAACTATTTTTTTTCTAAGCCAACGGCCATACCATGCTGAATATACCGGTTCTCGTTAGATCACCGAAGTCAAGCATCATTGGGCGCGGTCAGTAAGTACTTGGGTGGGTGACCACCTGGGTACACCGCGTGCCGTTGGCAAATTTGGGACCTGAATGGCCGAGTGTCTAGCGTTCTGGCGCTCGGTGCCACAGGTTTCGGGTTCGTATCCCGGCGGTGCCATGGGTGTTTGTAGTGGTTCGGAATCCACTTTAAGCCGTAGGTCCTGGTCTCACATGACTGTAAGAGCGTCACGGAGCAAAAGTCAGGCTTCTACCTACGGGTGCTCCATCACAACAGAAGCTGCTTCCTTCCCCTTCAATCATGAGTACATATGGGCTCGTGGGCTTGGCCTAGAAATGTCTGCCAAGTGGGATAAGAAACAACAACAACAACAACATTTTTTTCTATTTTCTGCGGCATATTTGCGAAATATCTTTTATTGAGCGGTATAGAAGAAGCGTCCTTGATTATGAGAAAAATATATTTATTCTCCTATAATACCTTTTTACAACGATTAATGATTCTTTTTAAAATATTTTGCAGATTTTTTTATTTATTTTTCAGTTATTCTCATAAATGTCGAAAAACTTTATGAAGTCTTATTTTTTTTATTTTACCAAACTGCAATTACATGCAGAAAACGTGTTGTATTGTGACTAATCTTCAGTGTCCTGCAGTGCGGGACGGACATCCCATGAGTAATCTACTCATGGATGGAGAGAAAGGTGACGGCTTCTGTTGTGATGGACCCCCTGTAAGTACTAGAAGTCAGATTTTGTTCTGTGACGCACTACAGTCATATGAGACTGGAACCTACAGCTTAAAGGAGATTCCGAACCACTACAAACATACTGGATACTTTCTACAAACATACTGGATACTACTGGCACCGCCGGGACTTGAACCCGAAACCTGGGGCACCGAGCGCCAGAGCGCTAGACACTCGGCCATTCAGACCCGCAGAAAATGTAATGTGCCTAATTTAAAAAAAAAAAATTTCAGCAACCCTAAAAGTCATCGTTTTTGATTGGAATTTAATCATTTAATATCAAATGTTGGTCAAAACCCACACAGTCGAACCATTATAATAAGTGCTCGGTATAACGCAATGGATTTACAGATGGCACATCAAACGACAGAGATTTCGAAATTCTATTGTGTATGGTTGAATCATAGCTCCAGTCGATATATCTTGACACAATTCCCGTCTTTTGACAAAACCGTCCAGCGAAATTACAGGAGGTGACAAAACTTTAATTTACAGATTGCAAATTATATTAGAGGTAATAATCACCTATGAAATGCACAGTTAAATTATTTTAACTTTACTATAAAATTATTTCATAAATTAGTATATTTTGCTAGTTTCTGAATTCGTCCGATTGAAAATTGAAAAATAATCGTATTATATTGTATCTTTTGAGGTTAGTTCAAAAGAAAAAAGTACACATTTTATTTACCATTGTCTGTTAAAGATATAGTGTAACAAATATATAACTGTGGATTTTTTCCTATATAGTGTCTTTTACTTTATATTAGTTTCTTTCTTGAGGGGCATGTAGATGTTCACTAAACAAACTTCGTACGACATTTTACTTCAATGGAATATTAGTGATGTTTTTCTTTCTAATGCAGCTGGCAAACACAAAGACAGCTTGGTCTTAGATGCCTTAAGGCAAGCGCTGCACAGGCGTTACTCACTTTGCAGTACCCAGGGGGCGCGTGTAACTTGATGGTAAGCCATGGACGCGGAGTAACAATGCCCGCGCAACGCTCTACGATCCTATTAGACCGGGACCTACGTTTTAAAGTGGATTCCGAACCACTACAAACATCCATGGCACCGCCGGGACTCGAACCCGAAACCTGTGGTACCGAGAGCCAGAGCGCTAGCCACTCGGCCATTCTGGCCCGGAAATGTTAGTAATAAAATTGGCAATTATAGGTTGAAAATTATATTAGAGGTAATATCAGCGAATGAGATGAATGATGTATTATGAGTGAATGAATCAATGAAGGAATTTTTTCGTAATAAACTTGACTACAATACTTGACAAATCTTACCACAACGTTTTAAACTGCCAAATTAGTTATATGCTTGTGTGGAAAATTTTGAATTAAATAACCAATGAAGCAGTTATGGAAGTTCTCATATTATTATGTCTCGGTGACATGTCTAACTACTGTGTACTTAAATTCTGATTGATATTCATGGATTTGTTTTTGTCTTTGCAGAACGCCTTCCACCCACAAGATGGCACCCTGGGTGAAGAGAGTTTTCTTGCATCTTCTACCAAGACTTCTGCTTATGCGACGGCCAGCTTATCCGGACGACACTCCTAAGGTAAATACATAATCCATCAGTATCAACATGGAATACATTTAATCTAGACGCAGGAAAAGCATGCTCAATTATTAACATTATGTTCATTTAGGTTAGACACAATTTCAGACGTTATTTGATGTTATTTTTAGGGTATCTATTTAAATTTGTTGCCATATAGGGGAAATCAGACTTAGGACTGCAAATTAATTTATCTTATAATCTAATAATACATTAGTTATAAACTATTATAGTCGTTATATCATTAATAATTTAAAAATTATCATTAAAAAATATATATCCAATGTCTGTTATGTATATAATGCAATATATTTTTACATTTTTTTTTTTTTTTGTAATACAACATACTCTACGTTTGTCTTATGAATTAAATACATTAAGACTTTTTTTATTTTAATCGTAATCATATATTTTTTATGTGTAACCATGCTTCCTCTTACACGTTGACAAGAGTGCCCCATATAGGCCTCGAGACTCTCACCCGAGAGAAAGTACAGCGCAACCTTCGTGCCCGCTGAGATACTTTTAGTTTACAGTCTCTCATCCAGAGAGTAAATATATTTAACGACCCTGTGTAATAATTGGCCTACAGACTCTCCCCCAGAAAAAGTATTTTTTGCGCTCCCTGCGCTTATCCGAGTTTCTGGTTTCTGGCGTAGAAGTCGAATCCTTCCAAGAATCTATAATTATATGTCTTTAAATGTGTTAAATATTGCCTGTCTTTAATTGTAGGTGTGTGGTGTTTGTACTTCTGTAAGTAAAGCTGTGAGTTCTTCAGCCTGTTCCTCAAGTATCTTAACCCAACCACATCCAGTTACAAATTGGTTGGCCAACCTGCACGCTTCAAATGTAAATTCATGTCAATATTTACTTAAATGATCATTTCTTCTTTGACGTATAATATGCTATTGGCAAAATTTCTAAAATACATATCCCATTTTATTGAGAATCATTTATTTACTTAACATTTCTGAAGAATTCATAGTAGACTTGCATTTGAAACGAAATAGGTTATTGATTGTTTTCAGTCGAACTTGAGAAAGTTGGACAATTATTACAAAACTTGAATCCTGTACACATAAAAAAAAAGAAATTAAAACAAAAACGGTTGTCTCCAGTATTTGGTTTACTAGAAAAAAATAAACTAAATTAGCGAATAAACCACCAGAATAGGAGAAAAACATTAAATGAAAGAAAAGCAAACAAGAGTTCTCGATCAAGAATTAAGCAAGCAAACTAGATTAATATGGTTCTTAATGAGATTAGTTAGGCTTAAGATAAGATTTTATCTTCAACAGATTTAATAACAACTTTGTTGATGTTAATATGGAAATCAAAGAAATAATCAACTCACAAAGAGTATCAGAATTATTGAATTAACAACAGGATCTAATCCCACGTTTCTGATAAAAAAAATGTTTTTAAATCGCATATTAAAAGAATATTAACAATTATACTATCTTTGTCTTTACTGGAAGGCCAGGGAAAGCATGTCCTGATCACAGGGACTTATTATGGAGCTTCTAGATTTTTAAATTTTTGTCCCTAGAACATTTAACTTGTTTTTAACGGTTTTTAAGGCCTTTTGCCGGTTTTTGTTAAGAATGTCTTGTCTTTTCCCTTTGTAATTTTGATTTGTTTATGTGTTATTCTTGTATCTATGATAAGTGGCCAAATTTGTATGGAATAGGTAACAACAGCAACCTATATTTGTGTTTGGTCTGATAGTGGGAGTTCCATTTGGAGCCATTAAAAAGCTCAGACATAACTATTTTATGGCTTTAAGTTATTTTATGTATATCTTATATTATAGCATATCTTTGCTATTTGCGAACTAATAACGGATTTCAGAACAGAATTCTCCCCATAAATAATGTAGGATATAATATTGAAGTAACGAACTATGCGAGGTATCTAGTAAAAAAAAATGTAGAACATGTCGCATGTGGAATTATCTAGTACTTTGGATATTTTTCTGTCAACTGTTTTTTTTTTTTTTTTAATATTCTATAATACAGTTTATAGAAGTTAGGCTTGTTGTTGTTCCTTAATGCATAAACTTGGCCGTTATTATCACTGCAATTATAATTCTGTTCAGCTGTTTGATTTAAGCATTTGAGCTGTTTTCAGTTCAGCATTTTATAGTGTTTTATAATTAAAATATTTACACTGTATTAAAAAAAAAGCGTAATGAGAAAACTTTATTTTTATGAGTAATTTACGACATTTTTTCCCACGCTAAGTCATTTGTACTTCCAGTACAATGTCCATGAAGCCAGTAGTTAAATAAAGTATTATTTTGATGCCGTGCCGTTATTTCCATATACGTTTTAAGGAGGGAACGCAGTATAATTTTCCAGAAAGATTACTTTCTTTTCTTAGTATATCCCATTTGAAAAAATCCGGAAAATCAATTCGTTTGTCAAAATCTCCATCGAACCTAGCGGCCTGATGACCAGTTGGCTAGCGCTCTGGTCTTTGGTACCACAGGCTTCAGGTTCAAATCTTCGCATGGAAGTTTGTTAGTGGTTCTGAATCCTCGTTAGACTGTAGGTCCTGGTTTAATTAGCCCAAAGTGTGCAAAAAATGACCGTAGAGCGACAAACCAAACTATAGAATCTATTCGATTTCAAAGGTTAATTGTAACGCACACTGATAGCAAAATCAAACACATGTCTTTATGTATTACATATCAAGCATTGCTATTGTGGACCAAATGATCGTAGAGTGACAAACAAAATCATCGGATCT